TGTCAAAGCCAATTAATTTTGTTTCATATTGGTTATTCTCAGCGTTAATCCTTACATCAATTTGTACCCATTCCCAATGAATGACTATGGGTCCCCAAAATCCTGCCAGCCTCTCTTCCATTCCCACCCTTGGGCTCTTGGCACAGCTGGTTCTTCCCTAGAATGCCCTCTCCCCATGCTTAACCTCTCTGATTTTAGGCCTCAGCTAAAGGCCTCCTCTGGCCACCCTACCTAAAGCTAGGGTGCCCCTTGGTTTCACCATCTCTGACCCTTGTTTTCTTTTAGGACATTCATTACAACCTGCACTGATTTATTTGTCTGCTTTCTTGTCTGCTTTGGTTTGGTTTTATCTTGTCAGTCTCCCCAAAAGAATTAGAATCCCCTGAGGGCAGGGACCAGGTCTGTCTTATTCATCACTGTATCACCAGCATGTAGCATGGTGTCTGGAACGTAGTACGTTGTCAATTAATATTGAATGAATGAATGAATGAATGAATCTTTGTCTTCCTTGATCCAAACTTGGCTCATTTATAAGACTCCAGTTTGCTTCCTCAGCCTCTCCACTTTGCTTTCTGCCCTGACCAGCCACCAACCTTCTCACCCACACAGTATATATCCTATTTCACCTCTCACCTCTGCCCGGCTCAGCCCTTCCAGCCAGATCTCTCCCCTCAGGCTACACAATGAACAATGTATTTGTCTTGGAGCTGTTTCTCTTGCTGCCTCAATGATCAGCTAGAGCTATTAACCTCAGCTGATCCTTGCTCCCGCTCCCTGACAAAAAAATAAATAAATGAAAACAGAAAACAGCCAAAACCACAGCTGCCTTGGGATCCTACAGCCAATCCTTGAGTACTGGCTCTAATCAAATTTACATCGGGCAAAAAATTGGCAGTGTGGCTAATATATTGGTGAATCGATGTCATGATGATCTGGAACAATCACATCTTTTTGGTCAATCACATCATTGGAACACTATTTTCAAGCTGGGTTCCACACTTTAAGGGGGAAATATTGAAAACTTCAAGTATGTCCAGATGAACGTGATGAGTTTGTAAACTGTTGAAATAGGAATGGAGCTTAACACATGGGCTCTGAAGCCAGACTGTTTGAATCCGGGCTCTACTACTTGCTATGTGCTTTTTACAATTTAATTAACTTTGTGCCTTGATTTCCCCAGCTGTGAAGTGGGGCTAATAATAGTGCCCATCTCACAGAGCATTGTGAGGATCAAATGAGTTGACACATGCAAAGCACTTAAAATGCTATCAGGCCCATATTAAGTGCTGTTTCAATGTCAGATGTTCTATGAAGAATGGGGAAGAAACTGGTACAATATTTCATTCATTATTTCTCAAGACCCTTGCTGAGTGTGGTCTGAAGATCTACAGCATTCGCTTCATCTGGGAGCTTGTTGGAAATGCAGAATCTCAGGCCCCAGCTTGACCTATTGAATCCGAAACGGCACAATAGGAACCAAGTTGGAAGTGGGGAGAGATACAATCAGTAAGATGCCAATCCCATATAAGAACAAAAATGAAGAAGGTCAGTGAGGCCTCACTAATATTAGGAAAAGATTCTAAATCCATCAAGGTCCACAGTCAAGTTACCCTTCATTACAACTCCTAGCCCACATTTAAAATAGATGGAATTAAACAGAACTTGTGGGGACCAGAACAAATGCTAGATTTAGGGTGTAAAGGGGCTGGGATGAGGGAGCAAGATTTGGAATCAACTGGTGCAGGTACCCATTTGTGTAGGGCATCCAAGCAGCAAAGCTCCCTCTCTGACAGGTGAGGGGAAGGGATGGGTAGTGGGGAAAAGAAGGGGTCCATATTGTCCTGATTCCTTTCTTTTCCCCAGACAAGGTCACCATATGTCTCAGTCTATTCGAGAGGCTATAACAATACCATAGACTAGGTGATTATAAACAGCAGAAATTTCTTACAGCTCTGGAGGTTGGGAAGTCCAAGATCAAGACACTAGCAGATTTGGTGTTTGGTGAGAGCCCACTTCCTGGTTCACAGATGACAATTTTCTGGCTGTGTCCTCACATGGGGGAAGAGCCAACAGAGCTCTCTGGGGTCTCTTTTATAAGAGCACTAATTCCAGTCAGGATGGCTCCATTGTCATGACCTAATCACCTCCCAAAAGCCCTACCCTCCAAATACTACCACATTGGGAATTAAGTTTCAACATATGAATTTGGGGGACACAAACATTCAGTATATTGTACCATTCTTAAAAGAGTAAAAGAAGTTCATTTTCTTCCAAGACTCCTCATTACTAAACCAAGGATCAAGAACAATAAGTAAATCCATTATTGTTTCAAGACTGCATTGTGGCTTAATCTTGGTTCAAAGAAAATGAGACCGGCTGATGTTTCAATGCCAGAACAGTAGCAAAAAAAAAAAAAAAAAAAATTCTGGTGCCAACTATGGAAGTTTATTATATCCATAGTGAGGTGGAAAGCAAAGAATTAACAGGAACAAAAGTAACACATATGCCCCCAAATCTTCAGTTATCTCATGATGAGTCATTTGCTGAAAGCAGTGGTTCAAGAGGGCTACACCATACTTTGAAACTATGCTAAGTAACAGAGTGAAGAGGAAGAGAAAGGAAATAGAATCTTATCAAGAAGGAAATGAGCCAAGAAAAGCAAAAGAATCTCTGGAATACTTGTGACGTCAATCTATAAACCTCAGAGCCCCTTCACCCTTTGGGGGAGGAGAACCATGAATGTAGGCCCTTTGTGGTTTATCATTTACAGTTTTGAAACTTGGCCAAGTCCAGTCAGAACTCCAGAATTGTGTTTTTTTATATCTCTAATATTATTGGAACACCAGCTTGTTGAAAAAAATGACACATTTCAACCAAACAAGATGAAAATCATGTGAAAGCAAATACATCACTTATAAGTAGATTGATTTCAGGGCGCCTGGGTGGCTCAGTCGTTAAGCGTCTGCCTTCGGCTCAGGTCATGATCCCAGAATTCTGGGATCGAGGCCCACATCGGGCTCCCTGCTCCGCAGGAAGCCTGCTCCTCCCTCTCCCACTCCCCCTGCTTGTGTTCCCTCTCTCGCTGTCTGTCAAATAAATAAATCAATAAATCTTAAAAAAAAAATAAAGTAGATTGATTTCTAATGCAAATGTTTCCAACCCGAAATGGAGATGATTACTTGCCCCAGGAATATTATCAGACAATGAAAATTGAGCCCAAAGATGTAACTTACTTTATTGGTAGGTGGTTCTTGAGGTGGCTTAGGGAAATAAAATCAAACAACTTTTCTACCTACAGTGAGGGTAATTTACATATATTGGATTCTCTTTACCATGTAATTGTTAGTTTCCTAATTTACTGCTTGATTGTTAACTCTTCATTTCAAAAACAATAGCAGCTTCTCCAACAAAATTCAATTCATTCTTTCAAGCTATAATTGTAGAAATTTCTTCACTCTTGAATTCCACTAATTTCCATTAATTATCATTAAATTAGTAGATTAAACTTTAAGACCTTCTTCAATTGAAATGTTTGTTAATCTAATTCTGCCATTCTCCTTAGGGGGCTGTTAACTCAAAAATATTTGTTCCTTTGTGTTTGTATTTCTGTTTACTCTTTTCCCCTCTCAAGTTAATTGTCAGGGACTTTATTTTTCCAACTTTGAAATGAGTACCTGTATCACATAAGCCTAATATTAAGAAAACGTATTTCAGCACCTATAATAGAAGTGACCTATTTGCAGAAAAAGACAATGAACCGGTTTAAAAGGTTTCTTTGTTTGTTTGGTTTTACATATAAGCTATAAAATAATTACTAAAAAGTAAAATTCAGTCACTTTTCTTCACTGAAGATCAATTCTATCGGAGTCTTAGTATTACTGAAATCAAAGCACTAACTATTTAGTGACATCAAATTCTCTGATGAATAAGCTTCTGTTCAATGTTTACATTTTTAAAACAAGAATAGTGTTTCAGATTTCTTATATACCCATTTATATTCATTATGTGATACTGGAAACCATATGTATTACATTATAATGAGTCATTGCCACTAGGCCAACAGGAAGTAACAAAAAAAGCCAAGAAACAATGTGATTTTTTCAGAATTAACTGAATGCTAGACATTTTTAAATATAGCAGCATTTTCTTTCTACAGAATAGACAAGAATGCCAACAGTTACACATGTGTGTATACTATATATGCATAATATTTAGCATATAATTATATATACACTGGCATTCATATGTAGATGTACACATATGAATAAACACATATGATTAAATTCCAACACAAATACATTGCTCTCCTTTCCTAGTAAAAAAAAATCTGTATCTTAAGGTTGAATTTTAAAAGCCATTATAAAAAATCATGTTTATATATTATATCTAATCTACATCTAGTATGTGGTTCTTTGTCTATTTCTGCATCTAGTATGATTTTTCTTACTAAAGTTTAATTTTCTTTCAATTTTAACACATCGCAAAGATGATCATATATATTTCCTGCATAAAATTTCTTTTCCTGAGAGAAAGCTTCTCAAAACATAAGATAAACTATGAAACAATAAGCAAATTGATTTAAAAATCAACAACCCGGGTGCCTGGGTGGCTCAGTTGGTTGAGCGACTGCCTTCGGCTCAGGTCATGATCCTGGAGTCCTTGGATCGAGTCCCGCATCGGGGTCCCTGCTCAGCGAGGAGCCTGCTTCTCCCTCTGACCCTCCCCCCTCTCATGTACTCTCTCTCTCTCTCATTCTCTCATTCTCGCTCTCTCAAATAAATAAATAAATCTTTAAAAAAAAAAAATCAACAACCCTTAAAATGAGCTCTTAAAAACTGGACTCTTTTTAATCTTGGTAAATCACTGCATTGTAGCTGATCCTTTTGCATAGTGTTTATTCAATGTAGAAGTGTGTGACAGTGTAATCATTTTCAGTCTTACAAGTTATTTGCAATAAAATTAGAAACTTGTTTCTGTTTTATTTTTTTTTCAAATTAAAAAAAAATTCATTATCCTTATCTCTACGTCTCTAATTCTGGTAGCATCTATAGACCCGGAACTCTTGGCATGTGCTACCTTAGACAAACATATCCCATTATAAAATTTATATAAAGGAAGGGACCCCCCAAACCTCTCTCCCTGTCTTACATTATTTCAAAAATAAACTCAGGGCTCAGCGGTATGCATTTATGGTCACTAGCATTTTTTTTTAATTTTCAAAGAAATCATCAAACTTTCGAGTTGATTATACTTAAACTACAGAATCATGGAGTTTTAGGCAACAGTCCCTCGTTTTACCTCAGAGATTAAGTGACTTGCTCAACAACACATAGCTCAGCAAACAGAAGGCTTGCACCAGAATCCCTTTCCCAGGTGGGTAATCCCCGTTGTGTGTGCTAGAAGATACAAACAAGTAACGTGTTGCGATCTTTATTGAAGAGAAAATGAGAATCAGCACTCTAAAATACCATTCAGTTCCACAGGATCCCAGGCTATTCTAGCCCTGTTCTAAACAAAGAGAAATTTGTAGATTTTATAAGCAAAGCCAAATTTTCAAATAAGGGAATAAGGCAAAAGCAGCAGCATAGGAAGTATGTGTGCTAAAAAAAGAATGTGCCTCTTCTTATCTCAGAAATACTGCATATACATTTTCTTGAGAAGTCAAGCTAAATTTGATTAAGCACATTTCTACATATCACATGAGCCTACCACTAGTATGGAAGAGAGTGGAAACCAAAAGAAATGCCACAGATTTCATGGTGTGATTCAGTTTCTTTCCAAGTGACACTTCCTTTGAAAAGGCATATATTTGGAATTTGCCTTTTAGAAAAATGCTTCTTTTCAATTTTCAAATATAATTCTGGTGTAATTAATTTAATCTGCATCTCAACACTTCTTGAGCTGAGCTTTCCACCAAGCACAAGATCTCTGTTTATGGACCAGAACAAAGAACAGTATACTGAACACAATCTGGAACGGTCAACATGGTGGTAGCCATAAGATGATAGAGCCTCCGTATATCATCAAAGGCATAGTCTTTCCAAGATGGCTTATCAGACCCCTGTTTATCCTTATCCATGTTCAAGTGCCCAACGGACATTTTGTTGCTTTACAAATCCTGCAAAGTAAACAGAAAAGGTGTGAGAAAAAGCATCAGATGAGAAAAAAGATGAACCTTTATGGAAGGTGAGCCTGAAGATAAGGTCTACTTAAAATGCTTACATTCAGGGGCCGCCTGGGGGGCTCAGTCAGTTAAGCATCTGCCTTTGGCTCAGGTCATGATCCCAGGGTCCTGAGATGGAGCCCCGTGTTTGGCTCTCTGCTCAGGAGGGAGTCTGCTTCTCCCTCTCCTTCTGCCTGCCACTCCCCCTGCTAATGCTCTCTCTCACTTTCTCACTCTCTCAAATAAATAAAATCTTTAAAAAACAACAACAATAACAACAGCTTATATCCAAGGCAACTATATGAGGTAAGACAGCTAATTGCTTACTTAACACATTTCAAATTCCAGACTTTACCAATCCAAAGCAAAGTGTTTATCTTGATTTGACACCAGACATGGCACTGGAGAAGAAGAAAAATGGGGAGCCGTTGGCCAGTGTTCTTAGTTCTCCATACTTATGTGTTTCAGAAATCAACAAAATCGCTGTATTTACAGGGAATGCATCAGAGATTAAAATAGCAGAAGAAAAGGGAGCTGCTGTTTGAAGAGGAACTAATAAGATTCAGAAGATTTGGGATGATGAAATTCAATCAGACTTTTATGTAGCTGTTCCAGAAATAATGCCCAAGCTTAATCCATTAAAGAAGGAAATGGAAAAAAAAAATTTTTTTTCCAATGCTTACTTGGAATCCCATTGCCTGTGACGTCCCCAAAGTTCTTGCATTATTTAAAACTGGATATGAAATTAAGGTAGATGAAGAAAGGGAGAACATTTTTAAGACCAAAATAGCAATAGTAGATCTGGCAAGTGACCAGATAGCTGTCAATCTGCTAGCAGTTGATCTCCTATCAATGTAGGCACAGACTGCTGAATTTGGGACCCTTTGCGGTCGGTCGGTCCTTTCCCTGGAAGTTTGTGACTAAAGATGAAGCCATTGTTGCCCAAAGGAGTAGAAACCAAAGAAAGTAACAATGAAGCTGCCTACAAGTGTTGCACTGGGAAATTTTCAGTGGCTTAAGAAGCAACAGAAAATTTTGAAACTGTATGATTTAGTGTCTTGTTATTTCTTCATCATTGTACTTGAAAATGAATTCTAATGCTGGAAAATCTTCTAACACTTTCAAAAGTAAGAAAATAAAATGTTCTCTGTTTCTGAAAAAAAAAAAAAACAGTGTCTTGAATTATTAGATACGTTTTTGTTCTTACCTTCAAATATTTACATGAATTATTCAGGCTTTGGATGGATGGAGCTTTGAAATATTCAAATTCCTTGAAATATTTTATGATATAAGGTTCATATTTATTAAACCCTGTAGGATGTACTTTTCTGTGGAAGTGAAGATTCAGTTCAATTCTCCTTTCTTCAGTACAGAGAGCGTACAGAGCAGAGTCTGGGCGATGGAGGAAGGGCAAAGATAAGTAAGCCAGTCTTGAGAGATTTTACCCATAAGGAGAAATACAAAGGAATAAAACACTTGTAAACCACAAGTTATAGAGGTCCTAAAAAGAAAGAGATAACTGCCAGGCGTGGCTGGAGGAAAAGCTTCAGACAGAAGCTAGCATTCCAGATGAGCCCTGAAAGGCTAACAGAGTATCACAAATGGGGGGAGGGCAGTGAAATGAGGGGCTAAGCTGTCAACTTGACTCTTGCTCTTTTTCATTTATGAAACGCCTTTTAGATATCATAACCACACAGTCATCTTCCCAGCATGGTGCCAGCTCCTTTGGTCCAAACCTTGGTCCTGGTCCCCACCAGGCAAACATATTCTGACTATCCCAGGATCCCTGTTTCTGACGGCTGCCCCGCACTCCTTCCCCCACAGAGACTCCCCATTCAGCAGTTCCGCCCTTCACAAGCAGCATTTACAGTCTCATCAGAACCCCCACCAGATACCCATTCCCCCACTCTTTCCAGTCCTGCTTGATGAAAGATGTCATCCAAACTAGAAACCTGGCCACACAGGTGACCTCATCCCCACTTCTAATGCTTCCATGACACCCCAAGAGATACTCCTTAACTTGGGGTAAAAAGCTTTCCTATCGATCTTCGGATCTCCCCTGTCCCTCCCTCACAGTGACTCTTGTAGATCCTGCTGTGCGTGCGCACACGCGTGCACGCGCATACACACACACACAGAGGCATCATGTTGTTTCACCTTTCTGTTTTGCTTGTGTTTCCGCCCCCTCTGTGTGGAATACAAGACTCTCTTCCCTGGTGGCCTAAATACTTCCTACTCATCCTTCCAGTCCCAGTTTGAATGAATTTTCTTTTGATACTGTCTTGCTCTTTCTAATATAACCTTTTAGCCTTTCTAGACTGAACCCATTACTCAGATCAGCACAACACATCAATCTTGATGTTTTGTCCATTCAACAGAGGATTCTTCCTCCTTTGGGGTGGGAGAAGGAATAAAGCTATGAATATTTATGTTAAGTCTTTTTTTGTGTGGGGTGTCTAGAATAATAAATTTTGACACAAACTCATCAAAACATCGCTATATTTAACTATAATGCTTCATTGGGAAAACACTGAAATTGCCTAAAAGATGAATGATAAGGGATCACAGCAGACACATGAGCAGGGCAATGGCAAGAAGAAAATTCAAGGAAAAAGGGTCAATAGAAGGTAAAATTAACTGGCTCTGGAGAAAGTAGGAGGAATCAAGAGTGAATTTGAGTTTGAGTCTTAGAAACTAAGAGAAAGGTAGTATCTGTGATGGAATCTGGAAGGTTCAAAAGGGGAAGAAATTTCTTTTTAATTTTAGAATTCTTTTTATTGAAGTGTAATTAACATACAATGTTATATTAGGTTCAGGTATACAACATAGTGATTCCACAATTGTATACGATACTCAGTACTCACCATGTTGAGTGTAGTCACCATCTGTCACCATACAATGCTATTATAATATTATTGACTATATTCCCTATGCTGTACATTTCATCTCTGTGACTTATTTATTCCATAACTGGAAGTTTGTGCCTCTTCATCTAAAAAGGGAAGGAAATTTGATGGGACAGCAGGACATCAAGTGGATGTACCACAACAAATTTATAGCTATAGAACTCAGGGGGAAAAATATCCTAGGGTGAAGGTAGGGAATCATTTTAGAGATTACCAAAGACATGAGAATGATTAAAAAAGAGAAGGTAAAACCAGAGTGCAAAGGTCATGGCCTGTGGGACACCTACAGTTACAAAATGAGAGAAGGAAGTGAAGGTAGTTTTAAAAAATATATAAATAAAGGAAGAGTCAGAAGTGGGAGTGAACCAGGACAGTGGAGCATCCTATCAGCCAAAGGGAGAGAGGGATAAAGGAAGAGCAGTCCACATTGTTGGATGCTGCCGAGGGGTGAAGGAAAATGAGGACCAAAGAGAAAAGCTGTTCAATTTGGTGATTGGGAAATGACAGTGGTGACCTCAGAGAGCGTGGTTTCCAAAAGAAAAGCAGGAGAGGAAGCTAAACCACAGAGAGCTGAGAACAAACGGGCGTGGACTTATAGCCACGATGGTGCTTGGAGGACCACTCTAGTCCAAAATGATAGTGATAACAGATGGAATATAAAATGGGAGAAATCTTAGGCATGTTCACACTTAAAAACACCTCTGCAGCCCAGAAATGGAACAGAAACAATATGGTGAGTGGCTGGATTCCGCCAAAAGCAAACAGAGGTATTCAGGAGCTGGATTCATTCAGGGCATTGGAGGCTAAACATCTCCATGTGAAGCAGAAGACCCATCTGAAATCAAGGGCTGGAATCAAGAGTCAGCAGCTGCCTGGGGCTACAAACTTGTACAAACCTAGATATCTAGGGGGGTGGAAGAATCAGACACAGTCTCATGGCCAGAATGCGATCCTGGAGAAGAGATTGGATGTACAATACTATACGATAAGACCAAAGTCTGGCCTGAGAGTCCCAGAAACCAGATGGAAATAACCACAGAACTACTAAATAGGGAAGGTTGAGTTCGGAGGGACAGAGGAAGGAAGGAAGGGAAGCAAGGAGGGAAGGTGGGAGGGAAGAAATTAGAGCTAAGAAAGAGCGCCCAAAATAGAAGCAACAACAGTGAGAAGAGTTCATTCCAGACAAAAAAGGGAAGGGAAGATTATAAGACAAAGAAAAGAAATTGGAGGTTTATATATTGAAATATTGAAAATATTGAAAGAGGTTTAAATATGGTGGAGTGTACAGCTCTTGTTTCTTGTCTCTCCGGCATCTGTTTTCTTTTTTCCTAATGACAACACTCCAGTTTTCCTTGGAGACCAGACTCACTCCCTGCCTGTATGCGTATTGTAACCCCCTAACTAAGATGATTGGCTCAGAGATGAGCATAATGAATTAGAACCAATCCTTAAATTTTTGTGGGTAGCAACACTTAAAAGGAAGCAGTCTCCCTCTGGGTATTGCTGAGAGACTAGGATGTAAGCCTGGAGCTTCTGGAGATCCTGCCTAGAAATGGAGCCAAGACAGAGAGAAGTATCCTAGAGAAATGGAGAAAGAAAGACGAAGATCTAATGACAGTGTTTGATATCCTGGATCCAGTCATATTGGCTTCTTATCAGTTCAGTGAGCCCAGGAGTTTCCTTTTTTGATCAAGTTGGTTTGAATTATGTTTCTATTACTCTTACCTGAAAGCTTCCTGACAAAACAAAAACAGAGAGGCATAGCTATTTCTATTTGCAGATAACATGAGAAGCTACCTAGAAAATCCAAAAAAATCAACTGAAAAACTTTCAAAAACTAATGATGCAGGGTCAAATGCAAAAAAAAAAGTCAACAAACTGATCATTTTAAAAATAGAAAGTGTGATATGAAGAAAAAAACAGATTCCATTTACAATAGCAACAAAATTAGAAAGTAGTCACCAATAACACCATATCTTGCAGATATGTGCAAGAACTACAATAAAAAGGGGCGCCTGAGTGGCTCAGTCAGTTAAGCGTCTGCCTTCAGCTCAGGTCATGATCCCGGGGTCCTGGGATCGAGCCCCACATCAGCAGAGGGCCTGTTTCTCCCTCTCCCTCTGCCTGCCTCTGCCTGCTTGAAATCTACCTCAAAAATAAATAAATAAAATCTTTAAAAAAATAAAAATAAAAAAGAGGGACGCCTGGGTGGCTCAGTTGGTTAAGCAGCTGCCTTCGGCCCGGGTCATGATCCCAGGGTCCTGGGATCGAGTTCCACATCGGGCTCCTTGCTCAGCAGGGAGGCTGCTTCTCCCTCTCTCTCCCTCTGCTTGTGCTCTCTCTGTCAAATAAATAAAATCTTTAAAACAAAGAAACTTATTATATTAAAAAAAAGAACTACAAGAAAAGATGTAAAACTTTGACAAAGACCTGAATAGGAGGACTTAATGTTGTCAAGATAACAATTGTCCCCAAATTATTCATAAATGCAATGTATTTCCAATAGAACAAGAATTGATCAATAGCTCAATGGAACAGAGTAGAAAGCCCAGAAACAAGCTCAAGTATAAGAGAATTTAGTATGTTATAAGGGTAATATTTCAAAATAATGAGGGAAAGAATGGACTCTTCAATAAATGATGTTGAAACAGTTGGCTATTAGAAAAAAATTTACTTTTTTACATCACATGATTTATTAAAATAAATTCTAGATGGATTTAGGTAGGAAAACAAAAAAAATTATCAAACCATTAAAAGAAAATATATAGAAGACCAAGTTTATGAACTTGGGAGTAGGAAAGATCTCCTGAAACAAAATGCAAAATGCAAAAGCCATAAAAAAAAGGATTGAAAAGCTAAATAAATTTTAATTTACTAACACTTTAAATTTGTTCAACAAAGGAATCTGTAAATTAAATTAAAATTCCAGTTGTAGACTGGGTGAGTACATTGTAACATACATAGCAAAGGACTTGCTCTTCTATGTCCTCAAGAAAAAGATAAACAGAATAGAAAAATGGACAAAATATATGACAAGCAATTCACAAAAGAGGAAACATGCATGGCAAACATTTGAAAAGAAATGCTCAGTTTCATCAGTTTCGGGGTGGGGTGAGGAATGCAAATAAAAACAAGGGGATACCATTTTTCACACATTTGACTAGCAATAAACAAAAAGATCCATATCCAGTGTTGGCAAGCTTTCTGGGAAAGACGTGCTCTCTTAGACCATTGCTGGGAATATAAACTCGTCAAGGTTTTTTGGAGAACAAATTGGGCAGTGGTCCCTCCAACTTTAGATGCATCTGTATTTTGACTCAGCAGTCTCACACTTTGGTATCCACCCCTCAGAAATAATACTTGCAAATGGGCAAAAAGAAAGCAGGGACAAGGTTGTTCACTGATGTATTAAAAACTTAGAGCAACCTAAATGATCATCAAAAGAGGGACAGTTAAATAAACAGCGATGCATCTGAGTTACATAAGGGTATGCAGTTGTTAAAAAGAATTAGAACACACAGACACAGAAAAATCTCCAAGAGACATGGCTAAATTAAAAAAAACATTGAGGAACAATCCACACTATATGATATGCAAAATCCGCTCTCCCTCTCTCTCTAAATCTCTGTGTGTTTGTGTATACATACACACACATGTATATAAATATATAATACACAGGTAAATAATGCAGATATATAAATATCTGAAAAGACGCATTCCAAATTGAGCTCAGTGTTTGCCCAATGCAGGAACCTGAAATGGAGGTGGGAGGAAGAGTAGGAAGAAAAATGTTTTATTTATCTGTAGTGTGTGATTTTTTTTTTTAAAGAGTCCTTATAGCTTTATGAATGTAGGTCTTCACTCTGTTTAGGAAAAGACCTTCCCCTTTCTAAAGTCCTGCTCCGTGTCAGGCATGGGGGGGTTGGGGGGGACCCTGCACAGCATTCCAGACTAGCTGCATTCCTGGTGAAGCAGTGAGTCAGCCCAGGGTGCCCCGGGGCCAGGCCCGGGTACAGCAATTCTGAGCTTCACTCCTGTGTCAACATTCGCAAGGACGAACCATGGGCAAATCAGTTTCAGTTCCTTTCTCGCATCCAGCTCATTTTTGGAACAGATAGCACAGAATGGAGTGAGAATGAGGGTCAAGCAAATCGCCACTCCATGGGCTGACTCCTCCCACCTTCTCCGTGCCTCTGCTAACCAGCCAAACCTGTCTGGCAGTGGGGAGGTGGAGAGTTCAGGGGAAATGCTTGTGGACTTTGGGCACTGCTCACAGCAAAAGGGCAAGCTGGGGATACCGTTGCTGGAAATTTTTTATGCAGTCAAGTGTTCCCTGCCCATCTGGCAGTTTTTCTTGCACTCTTTTTGCATAATTGTAGGGCAGACAAAATGACCCTTCACCCCATGCATGAAGCTCTGGAGAGATGATCCATAGACCACAAAGATACGCTGAATTGGGCGGGGGAACCCGAGTGCTATGAACAACCTCCTAAAGAGAAAGCCATGAATAAATTCCTCACTTACCAGTCAGTGGCATCTGAAAAGGAGAGGAAGTCAGCATGTATAAAACAGCTGTGCAGATTCCAAAGCGAACAGGGTACGACTAACCGCATCATGCTACTTCCTAAACACTAGGTTCCCTCCTCCTTTCTCCTCTTAGCCCCCAAAATAATCTAAAAACAATCCTCAAACTGGGGGAAAGGCAAACCGTTCTGGGAAGAAAAAAATAGCCCCTGCTCTAGATATCTTTTTCAGAGTTTGGCTGAGACTGTTAAAGATATTTCTCATTTTCTTTTCTTCTTGGCTGCCTTGACAGCCCTTCAGGATGTCTCCAAGCACAGCTCAATAAAGATTATTCCGGAGAAGTTTCATATTCCTAAGATTCCTTACATTTCTTTCTTTAATTTAGGAAATGAGGTTGAAAAGGCTGAAAGACAGCCCAGATTGCACCATTTCCTATGCAAGTTTCTTGCAAAAGCAAGCTGTGCCTCGTTCCAACAAGAACAGAGAGAGGCAGTTCTGAATGGAAGGTGGGCAGTGGGTCCTTTGGAACAGGGGTAGGACTATTTGTCTTTTGCAAAGGCCCCAGCAGGCCCAAAGGCTGTCTGAAAACTTTTTGAAAAGGAGGGAAGGGGAAAAAAAAAAAAGGAAACTTCGGTGCGCTGAGCCACTGAAAAAGCCAGTAACTGCACTGTGGACTTCATTCATTCACCAAATGCCTACTTTGCACCTCCGAGGCGCTGGGCTCTGTTCTAGATGCTGAGCCTAGAGCAGTGAGGACAACCGTGTGTGATCCCTGCAGGGCATTGCTGTGCAGGGGGCTGCCGCACGCAGAGGGCTGGAGGAAACCCTTTCCCTGTTTGCCCTCAGCTGGGGCGTGCTGTTCCTCCCGTCCTTTCGTCCTTTCGGCTCTCCAGTCCCTTCCTCCTCCGGCATCCTTGGTTTATTATACCCTTCACCTTTCCCCTTTATAATCACATGGTGCTTTGAAAACATCAAAGGAAAATAAGCAGGACCGGGGAGCTGATGAAAACGAAGCCTATGACTCAGAGGAGGATGTTTTTCTATTTTTCATTCTGACATCTCCTCTCAGAAGAACCTAGAAGCCTTTTTGTTATAAGAAGAGTTTGTCTCTCCTTTTAATAGAGATTCCTCACTTCTGCTCTTATTGTCAAAGTCTACTTTCAATCATCCACTGCTTATTGGCCTACTACTCCCGTGGGCCCTCAGAGTAGCCTGGCAATCATTTCTTGTTTCCTCATGCAGCTTTGGTGTTTTTCACCCTTCATTTAGTCTATTAAAAAAACAAAAATCTCCACGCTCCGCAGAGTTCCCTACCCACACCCCACCCCAGGCTCCACGCTTGCTCAGTTAGCCTCAACAGATGACCGTGCTCGAACTTGAGAGAGAAAATACAAACCATCAGGAAAGGACTCCTTTCATTTCCAATCACCTCACCCATATAGACTGATTATATGTGTCCCCGCCCCCCAAAATTCGTATGCCGAAACCTAATCCTCAATATGATGGTATTTAAGAGGGGGTCTTTGGGAGGTGATGAGGTCATGAGGGTAGAGCCTCCGTGGCTGGAATCCGCGCCCTTACAACCGACGGCCCGGAGAGCTCCCCACCTCCCCCAATCAGGCTGCGAGAAACAGCCAGGAAGCAGGCTGTCAGGAGACACTGAATGTACCCTGCCTTGATCTGGGATTTCCCAGCTTTCAGAACTGTAAGAAATAAATTTCTGTTGTTTATCATCCACCCAGGCTATGGTATTCTGTTAGAGCAATCTGCCCCTGCACACATTTTCTCCATCTTGCCCAAAGAAAGAGTGTCCTTTCAATTAAGGTGAGTTTCTGCACCACATTTTTGCAGGTACCCCCTTGAGTCTTCTCACGGAGAGCACCCCATCCTTTACCTCCCCCCTTCCATTTCTTCCCCTCTGCTGGATCCTTTCCTTCGGTCCCACACAAAACCCTGACCTTTCATCATATGAACTTCCTGCTAAAAGCTGATCCAGAAACATCCAAGGACGGATAATCAATAAAAGGGAACCAGGATGACAGCTACATAAAAATACTATTGGATCTTTTGGAATCAATCACCCTTTAGGTCTCTCACCTTCTACTCATATTCTACTTTCTGAGATATTTTATCATCTAATCTTTCCAGTGAATTTTTAATTTTGCCAATCATACTTTTCATTCCCAACATTTCCTCATATTTCTGAATATTCATATTCTAGCATCCTTACTCTTCTTTTAGGCAGGTAATAATTTCTCAAATCTCTGAAAATACTAATTAGAGGTTGTCAGGGGTTTTTTTTAATTTATTTCTGTTCCCTAAATTATTTCTCTGTGGGATCCTCATCATTAGGCATATGCCGCTGAGTACACACCCTTATATTGCTACTTTAGGTCATGCTCCTGAACTCCAGATTTCTATCTTTAATTGCCTAATGAATGACTCTACTTGGACATTCTAAAGACACCTCAAACTGAATTCCTATTTTCCTCCAAACTTGTTTTTTTCTTTTATCTCAGTAAATGGCAATACCATCTGTCAGTTACCCAAATACGAAACCTAGGAGTAATTCTTAACTGGCCCTATTTTTCCTCACCTGTATCTACTACATTAATTCCTAAAGATTCTATCTTTAATGTCACTCAATATTGTCCTAATGTTTCCTACTTTGTTGAAAAAACATAGATGGTATAATGGCTGGCATCTCTCCATGCATTTAACTGCTCCGTCTCAAGGAAGGTGGAGGGACCCATGATTTGTAAACTTGGAAAGGACAAATTGGGCATGTTCTGAGCCACCCTTCATTCTCTTGGCTGCTAGCTACAAGGAAACACATTCCTTTTTTAAGTTTTTTTTTTTTTTTTTCATCATCTCTACACCCAACGTGGGGCTCAAACTCGCAACCCCAACATTAAGAGTTGCAGGCTTTTCCAACTGAGCCTGACAGGCACCCCTACAGGGACACACATTCTAATAATTATCCAGGTGCAGCATTCCCCAGAGGACGTCCCAGTTCGGGCTCCCTGGGAAGCAGACGCTGAGATAGGTATTAGCATATAGGAGGTTTATTAGGCAGTACTCTCAGGATCAATACTTGTGGAGGGAAGGGAAGGGAAAGGAAGGGAAGGGAAGGAAAGGGAAAGGAAGGGAAGGGAAGGGAAGGGAAGAAAAAGAAGAGAAAGGGCATGATAAGGTTTAGGATAAGAAGAAGAGGAACAGGAAGGGAAAGAGAGGGGAGGGGAGGGAGGCAAGATTGAACAAAGGGAGAAGCGGAGCTGAGATTCAGTATCAATAAAGTCTTCAGATGACCTTCAGGGGGCTAGCTCCAAAGCTGAGATGGCCTCTCAAAGTTGTCTCAAACTGGGGCTAGGGGACCAAGACTTGATATTCCCCACTCTGATCTGTCATTGGATGCCAGCCACCCCAAGAAGGAAACATGACTTTGGGCTAGTGGTTCTCTATAGCCAAGGCCATCCCAAAAGAGGGCTGCTGGCTGAGGGTTCTCACAGCACTCCCAGAAGCCAGGGGAATACGTCCTTTATTTCTGAAGAGGCATCCACGTGGCACACCACATTTACCTCAGAGAGGCCTGCCCTGATCCGGGGGTTTACTTAGCATCTCATTTGGCTTTCACACTCAGCTAAAACCTTCACCATAGTTTTTTCAGCCAAAAATGGCATGTTTGGGAGTCTATCTGCCAATCGTTCATTACTTAATTTTCTCAGAAACCTAGACTGGGACAAGGGATGCTATTTAAACCTCAAGTATTTCTCAGTATCCTTCCCACTGGTCCCCAGGATCAGACCATCTCCATGTCTTTCCTGGACTATAACTGTTTCCTATCTGGCCATCCATCCTACTTCCATTTTTACCCTTCTCTGTTTTTTTCCTCCACACTTTACCCAAAGGGAGATTCCAAAAACACAAATCTGATTATCTCACTCCCATGTTTACAACTCTTCCCTGGGGTGTCTGACTGCCTCAGTCAGTAGAGCATGCAACACTTGATCTAGGGGTCATATGTTCGAGCCCCACGTTGGACATAGAGATTACCTAAAAAACAAGAAAACAAAAACCAAAAAACTCTTTCCTGCCTTCCCCTTACCCTCAGGGATAAGGTCTAACCTTAATAGGGCTGAGAAAGCCAACAAGATCCGATTTGAGCTCCGTAGTCTGGTCTGATTCTCTACTCACTCCCTCATCCTCTACCTCTGTACTTGATGGTCCAACAAGAGAAAAGTACTTGCAGTCTTCCTCAGCACACCAGTGGTTTCTTGACTCTATACCTTTTTTTTTTTTTTTTAAGATTTTATTTATTTATTTGACAGAGAGAGACACAGCGAGAGAGGGAACACAAGCAGGGGGAGAGGGAGAGGGAGAAGCAGGCTTCCCGCGGAGCAGGGAGCCCGATGCGGGACTCGATCCCAGGACCCTGGGATCATGACCTGAGCCGAAGGCAGACGCTTAACGACTGAGCCACCCAGGCGCCCCTTGACTCGGTGCTTTTTAAATATTTCCTCAAATTAGAATGTATCGAAATGCTTCCTTCTCCAATCTCTGAGCCTCCTGGGAGCCGGGACACTTCCGGGTTCTTCCAGTAGGCACTCAACAAATATTAAATGAATGCATGAATGTATCTGGAAAGGATTTATGGCCTGTTACATGCTTACTTATTAGCAATGGCCACTGAACATGGAAAAATGTTTAACCTTACTGTTAAAAAGGCACTCTGAAACAAGGAGATACAATTTTTCACATAGAAATTGGCAGAGTTACTAACAAAAATACTTAAGGCTAGCTAGGGTATGGCAAATGGGCACTCTGATACAATGCACATATCCAAAAAGCATTTTGGCAATATGTAAGAAGTCTTAAGATACTTAAACCATGTGCTCTAATAATTGCACATCTAGAGATCTATCCTATCTAATCAGAGATAGAAGTAAAATTTATACACAAAGTATTCATTATAACAGGTTTTTCTATTGTACTCTTACATTGTCCATATGTTCTTCCATAACGGGTCTGTTTTAATTTAAAAAATCAGCAAAATGTTAGTAAAATGCTGATAGGGTTAGAGTTGGCGTTACAGCTTATGGGAACCAACCTCCAGGACAGCCCAGTGACTATTGCTTCCTAGTAGTCACACCCCTGTGTAGTTCCCTCTCACACTGTTCAAGACTTGATCTGTGTGACTAATCAAAGACGACAGAAGTGATGACACACAACTTTCAAGATTAGGTTATAAAAGACTCTACAGCATCCATGTTAGTCTCTGGCTCTTTCTCTCAGATCATACGCTATTGGGGAAAGCCATTTGCTATGTCATGAGGGCGCTCTGTGGAGAGACCCACACGGCAAGACATTGAGGCCTTATGGCAAAACCACACAAGTAAGCTTGGAAGCAAATCCTCCGGCCCAGGTCAAGCCCTCAGTTG